CTGAAGTCGACGGAATTGGCGAGATTTGCCAGAAAATCGAAGAGCCGTGCTGTCGGCGCAAACAAGCTCGATCCGCGCCGCTGGGGTTCCATCCGCGTGAGAGGATGCCGGAAACGTGACCCGCAGTGCCAGGCGAGTCAACCGCCACCTCCTTCTCGCTGAACGGTGGCCGGAAACGAGAAGGAGAGGGAGGAGGAGGGAGTCGCGCGACCGAAGAAAATGAAGAAGAAGAGGAAAAGAGAAGAAAGGAAAAAAAAATTTAGAGCTTCTAGAACATTTCGGTTCGATTCGAATTGGTTTGGTCTAATTTAATGATTTGGCTCGTTTTTTACTCGGTTTACAGGTTTTTCACTTGGTTTTCAGGTTATTCGTGTGGTTTTCGAAAACTGAGATTGATTTCTGGGTCCGGTTCGATTTATTTTGATTATTTTAGTTTTCTGCGCGTGCTCGCGTTCGATTTATTTTGCATTAGTTTTTAAGGTTAGTTTCTCTGTAACATTTTCTCCATTTAGCTGAATAATAATAAAAATATTTAATAGTAATGATATTTGCATTTTAGCGCATAATTAATTATTATTAGTACGTTTACCGTCAAATCGGTGGAGGGGAAATGTTCGTGTGGAGGAGAGGAGTTGATCGAGATCATCCCCGGCACCTGAAGTCGACGGAATTGGCGAGATTTGCCAGAAAATTGAAGAGCGGTGCTGTCAGCACAAACAAGCTCGATCCGCGCCGCTGGGGTTCCATCCGCGTGAGAGGAGGCCGGAAACGTGACCTGCAGTGCCAGGCGAGTCAACCGCCACCTCGTTCTCGCTGAACAGTGTCCGGAAACGAGAAGGAGAGGGAGTCGTGCGACTGAAGAAAAAGAAGAAGAAGAGGAAAAATTCGGGGAGTTTGACAAATTCATACATATAAAAGCTCAAATAAAGAGAAGATTCAGCGCTCTTTCTTTATCCAACTTTCTATTTTTCTTTCTTAGGAATTTTTAAAATTTTATTACAGTTTTTTATTATAATTGGAAAATTTAAATATTTTAATTATTAATTTATTATAAATTATCCATATTAAATTATTTAAATTATGGAACCTTATCTATATATATATATAACTTAATTACCTAAAATACTTTATTTGAATTACTTAAATTATAAATTACCTAAAATTTAACTTAAATCAAAACCCATGGTATAGTAAAATTTATAGCAAAATTTAGCTTAAATCAAAATTTAACTTAAATCAAAACAAACAGTATAGTAAAATTTATGGCACGGTACTTTCTTTTTTATTACTTTGGTTTTTATTTTTTTCTTTTATTTGTTGTTCTAAATTTTATTTATAGGTTTTTATACGGAAAGTGTTCTAAATTAACACAATATTTTATTTTCTATATAACTTTTCGTAAAATATATATCATAGGTTTTTTAAATATATTTTTAAAGTTTAATAGCTATGTATAGATTATTATGAATTTGAAAATTTTAAACTATTTTTCAATCATAATTTTATAAATAAGTATAAATTTAATATATAATTCACTAATTTGTATAACAAAGGATATAACATTACTCAAATATATTTAAGCACTAAAGTTATGATCAAAAGTTTTAAAAATTCTATGGTTTAATTTTAAAATTTTGTTTATCTTTATTTATATAAATATTTATACATTTATTTTCTTTTTTCATTATTACTGCTAAATTCTCTAATACCTTCTGTTGCTTTATTTCTCAGGCTTACACTGATCTTTTTGAATTTTCTTTTCCCGGAGTCCCGATTATTCAAATTATAGAATCTTCTTCAACATTTTCCTATTTGCCCAAGTATGCTTATAAAGATCTTATTATGTTAGGAATTTACGCATTTTATTTACAATTATCTATCTTA